CCTGCCGGCCATCCCCTCCCCTACCCTGGACGACGCTGGGCTAATTGTGCGCCGCCCCGTGGGTCTCCCAGTCGCGGCCGGCTACGACAGAGCCTGGATTCGAACCAGGATCTCTAGTGGCACAGCTAGCACTGCGATGCAGTGCCTTAGACCATCATTGGCAAACTTCAGACGGCCCTGTACAGTGGGGAAAAAAAGTATTTAGTCAGCCACCAATTGTGCAAGTTCTCCCACTTAAAAAGATGAGAGAGGCCTGTAATTTTCATCATAGGTACACGTCAACTATGACAGACAAAATGAGAAAAAAAAATCCAGAAAATCACATTGTAGGATTTTTAATGAATTTATTTGCAAATTATGGTGGAAAATAAGTATTTGGTCAATAACAAAAGTTTCTCAATACTTTGTTATATACCCTTTGTTGGCAATGACACAGGTCAAACGTTTTCTGTAAGTCTTCACAAGGTTTTCACACACTGTTGCTGATATTTTGGCCCATTCCTCCATGCAGATCTCCTCTAGAGCAGTGATGTTTTGGGGCTGTCGCTGGGCAACACGGAGTTTCAACTCCCTCCAAAGATTTTCTATGGGGTTGAGATCTGGAGACTGGCTAGGCCACTCCAGGACCTTGAAATGCTTCTTACGAAGCCACTCCTTCGTTGCCCGGGCGGTGTGTTTGGGATCATTGTCATGCTGAAAGACACAGCCACGTTTCATCTTCAATGCCCTTTCTGATGGAAGGAGGTTTTCACTCAAAATCTCACGATACATGGCCCCATTCATTCTTTCCTTTACACGGATCAGTCGTCCTGGTCCCTTTGCAGAAAAACAGCCCCAAAGCATGATGTTTCCACCCCCATGCTTCACAGTAGGTATGGTGTTCTTTGGATGCAACTCAGCATTCTTTGTCCTCCAAACACGACGAGTTGAGTTTTTACCAAAAAGTTATATTTTTGTTTCATCTGACCATATGACATTCTCCCAATCCTCTTCTGGATCATCCAAATGCACTCTAGCAAACTTCAGACGGGCCTGGACATGTACTGGCTTAAGCAGGGGGACACATCTGGCACTGCAGGATTTGAGTCCCTGGCGGCGTAGTGTGTTACTGATGGTAGGCTTTGTTACTTTGGTCCCAGCTCTCAGCAGGTCATTCACTAGGTCCCCCCGTGTGGTTCTGGGATTTTTGCTCACCGTTCTTGTGATCATTTTGACCCCACGGGGTGAGATCTTGCGTGGAGCCCCAGATTGAGGGAGATTATCAGTGGTCTAGTATGTCTTCCATTTCCTAATAATTGCTCCCACAGTTGATTTCTTCAAACCAAGCTGCTTACCTATTGCAGATTCAGTCTTCACAGCCTGGTGCAGGTCTACAATTTTGTTTCTGGTGTCCTTTGACAGCTCTTTGGTCTTGGCCATAGTGGAGTTTGGAGTGTGACTGTTTGAGGTTGTGGACAGGTGTCTTTTATACTGATAACAAGTTCAAACAGGTGCCATTAATACAGGTAACGAGTGGAGGACAGAGGAGCCTCTTAAAGAAGAAGTTACAGGTCTGTGAGAGCCAGAAATCTTGCTTGTTTGTAGGTGACTAAATACTTATTTTCCACCATAATTTGCAAATAAATTCATTAAAAATCCTACAATGTGATTTTCTGGATTTTTTTGTTGTTGACGTGTACCTATGATGAACATTACAGGCCTCTCATCTTTTTAAGTGGGAGAACTTGCGCAATTGGTGGCTGACTAAATACTTTTTTCCCCCACTGTACAATCTTGTCCCTGACATCCTTGGAGAGCTCTTTGGTCTTGGCCATGGTGGAGAGTTTGGAATCTGATTGATTGATTGCTTCTGTGGACATGTGTCTTTTATACAGGTAACAAGCTGAGATTAGGAGCACTCCCTTTAAGAGTGTGCTCCTAATCTCAGCTTGTTACCTGTATAAAAGACACCTGGGAGCCAGAAATCTTTCTGATTGAGAGGGGGTCAAATACTTATTTCCCTCATTAAAATGCAAATCAATTTATAACATTTTGAACATGCGTTGTTCTGGATTTTTTTGTTGTTATTCTGTCTCTCACTGTTCAAATAAACCTACCATTAAAATTATAGACTGATAATTTCTTTGTCAGTGGGCAAATGTACAAAATCAGCAGGGGATCAAAAATGTTTTTCCCTCACTGTAAATTCCATTTAAAATCAACCAAAGGTTGAAACCCTAGGCCGATAGGAACTGTTTATAACATATTTCAACCACATAATCCTGTGGTTGAAATTTCACAAAACAACATTGATTACTTATTTTCCGATGTATTTTCCATGTAGATTCCACCTCACAATGTGTTGAATAATTAAGTTGAAACAACATTGATTTAACCAATTTGTGGCCAGTGGGTAGTGTGTGTGTTCCCTCAGCCCTGTGTATGTGTGAGTGCCATGGGTGCAGGTTGACTCCACCTGCTCTGTGCTTGGACTTTTAAAGCTGCAATATGTCACATTTTGGGCGACCTTACCAAATTCACATAGAAATCTGAGTTACAGATCTGTCATTCTTATTGAAAGCAAGTCTAAGAAGCTGTAGATATGCTCTGAGTGCGATATTTCTATGCTTTCCGTTTTTAAGTTTTGTTTTTGCGTCTTTTACACCAGCTTCAAACAGCTGAAAATACAATAGTTTTTGTTATGGAAAATATATCTCACAGCGGTTTAGATGGTACAATGATTCTCTACACGATAGTTGCTTGTTTTGTCACAAACTGAAATTAGGCAAACTATATTGTTTTTTCAAAGCAATAGCCACTAGTGTTGTCATGATACCAGAATTTTGATTTCGAAACCGATACCAGGTTTAGTGTATTTTTCCATATAAAGAATTATACACTATGTTTGAATAAAATCAACAATATGTAGGCTACTTTGCCTGATGCTTTAAGCACTACAATTAAAAATGAAGACACACAAATTACTAAAAAGTGAGCCAGAGATCAATATAGCCTAACCAGAAGAAAAAAAAAAAAGATCCCTACCCGACCCTGCTCCTTCCACTGCCCGCTGCTGCTGGCCTTCACAGATTCTGCCATTATGCTCCTGAAGTTGCCGGTAATAGGCTACACCAGCTTTCGGCAACCTTTTCCATTTGGAGTGCCAAGTAATCGTACCATTTCTTTCTACTGATCTGCATGCCATTTATGATTTTCATATGCACATTTTCGTGGAACAGTTTCATTTAATTTATAATAAAGTCTTCATATCTCAAAATCAATGTCATGTGGTTATTCAAAATTCTATCTAAATGAAAATGATACTTTTAGATTTGTAACTTCTATTGCCTTTGCGAATTTGTAAAAATAGCCTACATAAAGCCAACAAATAATAACATTGTAGAAAATAGCCTGATTAAGCACCAATTTGTAAGTCGCTCTGGATAAGAGCGTCTGCTAAATGATGTAAATGTAAGGGCTATTTGACCAAGAAGGAGAGTGATGGAGTGCTGCATCAGATGACCTGGCCTCCATAATCTCCCGACCTCAGTTGACCAACAGCCTATGGATCAAACAGTCCAATATCATTACATACTTTTTTTTTTATGTCAATATTTTTCAGAGACAGCCATGTATGATTAATTAATAAATTATACAATCATACAATGATCTTGACTTTGGTTAAAACAATCTAACTACATAACAACGTAATGGTAATCATTTATTTGAATGGTAAATCTCTATTGATAAACTGGGTAAATCAAGATGTAGCCTAGGCCTATACACAATACAGGTGTGCATGCATGAGTTATTGAGCTTCTTTTGGCTGATTTAATGGGGCTACAGATGACAAACAATCCGTTTCTATTCCATGTCGGACTTATTTAATTGGAATGATCAACAACATTTGCATAGAAGTAGCTTATTTTATAAAAATGTGTCTTTAACCGTCATTCACGAGGGGGGGCGGCCCGTAGGAGCACAGTCAATTCGATGACACAATAGATCATCTTTGGGAGAGATGTGAGAGGGACACCGAAATAAGGGAATTAATTCAGTTTATTGTGTTAATCAGCATATTTTGTGTAATGGTTTGCATATTATCATAAAGTACTAGGGTAGTGAATTGATGTTAGCTTTAGCTGTCAGTTAGCAAAGAAAGTTAGCCTACAAAGTTGGAAGCTACCGGTATCTTATTTCATTGTAAAGTGTTCTTGCTTGTATGGACATTTTTTTGCGAACAGTAATTAACAGTTTTAACATTTCTACATGCTGTTCATATTAAAGTATGTGAACTTCTGTGCAGCATGAGTGGGGAGCTAACATAATGTAGCCCAGACTCCCAGTGCAGGCTAGCAATGGGTAAGTGGAGCAGGTACGGTGCATGCTATAATAAGGGATCGGCTGCGCTGACAGACAGGCTTGATCCGTGAGACACATTTGACAGAAGTACTGACATTTTTTTTTTTATGTACCGAGACTGTTATATCTAGCCTAGCTGTAGAAGAACGCACATCTGCACAGTTTCATAACAACGTACAGTACGATGTACAGCATGTCGTACCATACATAACAGAGACGTTATTCATGTTCTAGTATAGAAAAGTACAGAAGTTTCGGTATAACGTGCAACAATAATAGCCACTGCTATGTCTCGATATGTGTTTTGTTTTGACTAGCATTTCAGACAGCCAAAACCCCCTGTGGGAGAAATACTATCAATCTTTCATCTCGACTTCATTTGAAATTCTTACAAATGGGTGCTAGGTTTTCTGAGTTCACGCTTATTAAGGATAGGAAAGGACATGATACCACCAAGGAATACTTGACGCGCCTCTGAAGCATAAACTTTTTAAAGTATCTCACGATCACAATCAGTAACAACAAAATGTGAGTATCTGCCTGGTGGTTGTGTTATTTAAAGCCACTGATGCATTAGCCTGTCTAGGGTCTTTGGTCTGTCACTCTGTTATTTCACACTTGTTTGGCTGTCCTGCTGTCCTCTCTGAGGACAGAGGAGGATGAAAAATGCCTGCATGCAATATGTGCTCTCTCTCTGAGTGAGAAATAACTGAAATTACATTCTGTTCTTGCCAATACAAACTCCCTACTATCTGATTCTCCATTGGCTGTTGCATGCTGAGTTCTTATGACCGTGTTCCAATTCTGATGGCTGAACTGTGTTCTTCTGTCCCTAGGTGATGGCTCAGCAGGCCGGGGCTGGGCGCAGGTATATCCGGGCGTTTGTGAGCGGCTTCTTCGTGGCAGTGCCCGTCACTGTCACTGTTCTGGACCGCTTTGCCTATGTAGCACGAGTAGAAGGAGCCTCAATGCAGGTGAGACACATGCTTTCTACTTTTCTATCTCTCTCCCCCTCTCCATGCTTTCTCCATCAATTCCTACTGATGTTGTTGTACTTTTACAAAGCCCCACTTTCCATTTGTAGCAGAGTTAATTTTATCTAGGTATCTATCATACAGTACAGAGAGGGAGAGGTTCTCTTGAATGTAATCAATTGGCCTTACCCCACCCCCTACAATTGCCAATATCACAGAAGACATTTAGCCTTACTGAGATTCAGAAGCCATACAATACAACATATGTCATACTTCATGGCCTGGGTTGACACTTAGCGTGATGAAATACATCAAATGTATCTCACAGCTTTTCTCACATTAAGAAAACATAAACACTTGTTTTAAACCTCTATATTTAATGCACATCCATCTTTCATTCTGCTGTCAAACAGAGTTAATCTGGTATACACATGTAGCTATAAGTCAGTCGGGCAACCAAGACCCATTGGTTTCACCTCATTGGCTGGGTTTTGTCCTCCGTGTTGACAGTGTTGGATGGCAGTTTAGCTTCTTGGGAATGGTTGACTAGAGAATCCATACAGCGTGATATTGTAACATGGGAGCTGAAGGGTTTTATAGAAGCTCTAACACAGCTAAAGAAAGTTAAATTTCTTTGGAATAATCCTAAATAAAGAGATCTTTCAGTCATAGTTTTGTTTGTACCATCCCATATGACGTAATTAGCATCCTAGTATATTTACATGGTTTTCTAAGAAAGTAAGAAAAGTAACAACAAATGTTTGTCTGAAGAAGATCGTTATTGATCTCCCTCCTCCTCCTCCTCCTCCTCCTCCTCCTCCTCCCATACTACTACTTAGTAAGTCAATACATTCAGATACTGAAGGCTGTTTACATTGTTGGAGTTGTTCAGATTTCTCTATGTTATAGTTGTGTAGACAGACAGTTGCCTCACTTTGCCTCTCCTCCTACAAGACCGTGATAGTTTAAACTAGATTCCTTACAAAACCCCTGCATTGTCTTGCCTTAGGCTGCAGTCTTCACAAGATTGAATTGTTGACCAGACAATCTTATTTGATTGAACTTTCCTTGTCTCCTGTGTTGTTTTTTTTTCTGTTTTCATTAATTCTAGGGCGCTTTCAAGCTAGCAAGATATACATTTTTGAAACAATACAGCATGTAATATGGTAAAATATGACTGAAAGTGAAAATGATAATGTATCCAACTGTATCAGATAAATTCCGCGGCTGGCAGCACTCGTATGGGATATTTATTTTCGTCAGATGGATAAGAGATATTCTGTCAATTACCCTGGCAAGCGTGAAATGGCCTGTGCACATTCTGTTTAATGAATCATTCTGCCTGTGTCATGTCACCCGCCGCTTGGAGCGGGGCTTCGTCACACACTAGCTCTTCGATAAAGTGACACAGTTGTAAGAATAAATTATTTATGTTGGGGGATTTCACAGACTATAGGCCTACTATACAGTGTACGATAGAGTTACAGTCATGGTTGTTGAGAAACCCTCTTGCGTTTCCCATTGAGGGTGAAATTGTTAATTTTGTGGACTCACTGGGTAAGGAGAGTTATACTGGGGCATGTTCACAAGGTACAAAACTGAGGGAAACTTGAAGGTACTAAACTTGTCCAACCCTGATGTACTCTGTAAGGGACTGTAGGAATTATGTGCATCATCTTGTTTGTGTTGTTGTTTAGATTATTGACCTCTGTACTGACCCTTGCCCCGAGACATGGCTGTTGACTTCTATGGCTTTAGACTCTATAGTTAGTTAGCCTACAGCCACGTCTCAGGGCAACCCTTCCACTCCAATAGATTTAAAGGTATGACGTGTGTTTCACCCATATCTGTCGGTGTGAATCTGTAGACACAGGAAGACATACAGGTAGGCTAGATACAGAATTTAGCTCAGTATGGCAGGAGCCCGCTTCACTTCTTTAAGAGGAATATGTCATTCTGAATATGTCACTCTTGGAGGAATATGTAATTCTGTGGTGTTCAGTCTGTCTTCTGTTCCCTGGTTGCCCTCTGCTTGGCCCTTGTTGCTGTTCTTCTGTCCTGGACACTAATGACAATGTTGCTCGTTTCCCCTGTTCCTTGTTTCTTTCTGATGTGAAACAGACATAGACTCACCTTTTTTGTGTTTTTTGTGTGTGTGTCTCCTCAGCCCTCCCTGAATCCTGAGGGGAATGTGACAGGGTCTGACGTGGTGCTCCTGAACCGCTGGAGTGTGAGGAACTACCAAGTACGACGAGGTGACATCGTATCAGTCCTGTAAGTAACCAAGTTTTAACCACGTTTACATCGACTTTTGTTTGTTTGTTTGCTGTCAGACAAGCTGGGACCTTGTTAGTTGCTAAGATCAAGTGGATTTGGATAAACACTCTCTCCCGTTCTGTCCCTCTTTCTCTCTCTCTCTCCCTCCACCTCTGGAGTAGGCCCCTCTGCCCACGGCTGACTGAGCAGTGACGTTCTGCTCCCCTATAACTCCCCTGTGCCGTTTTTAAAATAGAGAACCTGTTGACACTGTTGGCTCCACAGCCGAGACAGAGGAGGGAGGGAGGGAGGGAGGGAGAGATATTACCAAGACTCCAATTAGAGCACCACACAGCCACGTCAAGGCTCCCTGCTTTCAGACATACTCTTTGTTCTGAAGCACCGTGGAAAGCCAAATGTGGCCCTGGCTGCTAATGAAAAAGACTCTCTCAGAAATGGCATCATATTCCCGATATAGTGCACTACCTTTGACCATAGGGCTCTGGCCAAAAGCACTACACTATGTCGGAAATAGGGTGTTATTTGGGATGCAGTTAAAATCTCCCCTGAAATAAAGTATTTTCTCTCTCTTTCTCTCTCCTCGTAGGCTCAAGTCCCTGGTCGCAGTTATCCCAGACTACTTATCTCAGTCTTTGTTTTTGCAATGGCTGCTGAGACATCATTGTGTGATAACGCAGCTGTCTGATGCATTTGTGTTGCCTTGATGGGATTCAGGTTTGATGTTGTTTGATGCAGAAGAGCAGAGCAGAGGTCATGAATAGGCAGACATAGAGGTACGGTCAAGGAATATAACTGCATTATGTATTTTCTGTGTTCATTAGTTAAACTGGGTTTGACAACCTCAGGGTAAAGTTTTGCAATGACTGATTTATTTGGGTTCTACATTACTATTGTAATTCAGCACGGATGTCCACAAACCACCCATCAATGCAGGTCTCCCTTAGAAAATAGGTATTCTGACTTCAATGGTGCTACCTGGTTAAATATAATAAAAATAATTTAAAAAATGCTATTAAATGCACCTAATTGCTGCTGTGGGGTTTGATGTGATGTGGGTTCAGACAGACAGCGGCAGGCAGGATAAATCCCTCTTCCATAATTACCCCAAGATGGCAGCCTCTCCCTTCCCTTCCCTGCAGGGGACGTGTTGTGCTTGTGAACAGGATGTTCAGCCATTATGAAGCACTATTCCTGGCAGAGCGGAGTGAAGGAGAAGGGGGAGAAAGAGGGAAGGAGAGAGGGAGAGGGGGAAGTGATAGAAAGAGAGAGTGAGAGAGAGAGAGAGAGCTAGTGTGGAATGCTAATCTAAGGAAATCTGACAGTGGCTTTGACACAAACTAAGTTGTAAGAATAAATGATTTCTGTGGGGGGATTTCACAGACTATAGGCCTACTATACTGTGTCATGGTTGTTGAGAAACCCTCTTGCGTTTCCCATTGAGGGTGAAATTGTTAATTTTGTGGACTCACTGGGAAGGAGAGCGTTATACTGGGGCATGTTCACAAGGTACAAAACTGAGGGAAACTTGAAGGTACTAAACTTGTCCAACCCTGATGTACTCTGTAAGGTACTGTAGGAGTTATGTGCATCATCTTGCTTGTGTTGTTGTTTAGATTATTGACCTCTGTACTGACCCTTGCCCTGAGACATGGCTGTTGACTTCTATGGTTAGTTAGCCTACAGCCATGTCTCAGGGCAACCCTTTCACTCGAATAGATTTAAAGGTATGATGTGTGTTTCACCCATATCTGTCGGTGTGAATCTGTAGACACAGGAAGACATACAGGTAGGCTAGATGCACCAATTAACCTGCATGCTTTTGAGAATGCTTTTTCTAAAGCAAGATTTATGAGGAAGGGCAACATGTCAAGTAGATCTGTATCAACAGCTGTTGTCGGGTGGGATTTCATAAAATAATCAAAAGCGTATTTCTCATCTGCCAAAGAATTTCACCCTGGCCTGTACTGTATTTACATGTCAAATGTGATATTGGACTACTGCTACAGCAAGGCAGACTGAATTCCCTCTTCTAATTGGTACTCATTTTAAAAGCAAATTGTCCAAGGCAATATTCTGGGCCTCTGAGTAATTTCTTATTTACAGAATAGAATACTCCTCGTTTCAGGGCCATAGTTGTGGATGAGGAAAATGGTTCTGTCACCGTGTTTATGAGTGCATATATGGAAAGTTATCTGCCACATTGGGTATTTGTCATGCTTTCAGTGCAGCCTATTACAAAGCTGATTGATTTTATGTTTTGCTGTAAACATAACCATATGGTTTTGAGCAGCCCCAGAAACAGATTTCTGCTAAACAGAATTTTCTTGTGGAAGAGGAGAAATGCTTTTCTCCGGGTTATAAATAGGTGTCATAACAGATTAATAAATCCCCTTTTTCTGGCACCGTGCTTTTGTTTATGACAAGGTTTTAGGATTACCATCCTGGTACAAGACAATAGAAAAACAGATGTTGAAAGTTTTGACTTGTACGTTTTTTACACGTTTATTAAAAATGTGGATGAGTATTCATGGTATGCACAGCAGCAGCTATGTAAACCTTCAAAAGTCTGTCGTTTCTTCTATTCCCGCTTGTTCAGTTGGACTATACTGACTTTGTGTAATTAGCATCAACAGAATCCAGTTGAGCTGTGTTTTAGCCAGCCGTGACCAAGGCCCATTGTTTTGGGATTGGTCTTACAAAAAAAGTGAAGACAGAGGGGAAAAAAGGCAAGCAAAAACCTCAGATGCTTAATCTAGGAGACTCTGAGCTGACAATCTCTCCTCTGCAGACATGTTGCTCGGGAAACAGCGGAACGCGGTCTGTGGAGTTAGGAGTTCCTTCTTGGACACAGGAACAGGGGAGCTGACTGGCCTGGCCACCCTTCCATGAGCCATTAGGTCCCTGTGGGGCACACTCTGACCCCCGGGGAGGGGAGGGCAGGGGAGAAGAGGGGAAGGAATGGGTGGCCAAGGGAGAGGAGGGGAAGGGAGGCAAGGGGAGCAGAGGGAAATGGAGGAGAGGAGAGGGGAAGGTCCTAGAATGGGATGGGAGCAGAGAGCATGTGGGATGTTAATAGGGTTTGTTTTGCCAAAAGGGATCGCTTCAGTCTGTCTCCTATCTAACAGATAGATAGGGATATTTTGACATGTCTGCTGCCTGGTGGTCGCTGGCTGTAATAGTGTTATTATCTGTCATTTGTGTGATTTCAGCTGCGTGATGGCTGGGTAATGGCCTCTGTTAAAAGCAGGACATTGGCCTCTTGAGCTAAGAATCCCTCTCTGCGAAACACACACACACACACACACACACACACACACACACAGATAGTGCTCAGAGCACACACACCTGCATTCAAAATATGTTTAATTTTATCTTAAATGTTCGATAAAGGTTGGCGTTCCCTCCAACCTGCTTAGAGGCAGCCATTTCATTCAACATGTAAATAAGAATTAACTTAATTAGTAAATTAATTTATTGCCCTGTGAAATCAAATTGAAGTGTAGACTAACAGTGAAATGCTTACTTACGGGTGTATTTCCAAAAATGCAGAGTTAAAGATAAAAATACAAAATAGAATAAATATATAAACAGAAATAGTGACATGAGGAATTAATACATAATGGATAACAAGTAAAAATAACATGGCTATATATAAGGAGTAGAAAATAACATGCCTATATACAGGGAGTACCAGTACCAAGTCGATTTGCATGGGTACCAGGTAATTGAGGTAACTATGTAATAGTGATTTGCGGGTTTACTCATAACCCACAGTCCCCGCGGTTATATCTGCAGGGCGGGCGGGTTTAGGGTCATGAAATACTGTGTGGATGAAGGGCGGGTGGCGGGCGGGTTGAATAAAGGAAAACAATACCTTAGAAATCCATAAATGTATAATTCTAGTGCAATTTATATCTATAGGCTACATTGAAGTTTTTCTTTCAGTAGTTTAAGCTATCTGACATTAGTGCGTAAGCCTAAGCTTTAGGGCCAACTATACGCTCACCGAATAGCCTACACGGCAATCGCCAAATGCTTATGGGAACAGGCAGAAAAATCGATCTACGGAGGCAAAAAGGACGATGTCGGAGTTTAATTCAATAAGAGAAAAGCTGGGAAATGGATAGTTGAAAATAAAGACAAGGGAGGGAAAGATTTGGTCAAGTGGTAAAAGGTTGATGATGATGGCAGTGTTATGTGAGGCGCTATGCAAATTGACAGTCACAAGACGGGGACTTCAAATAGGCCTTTGGCACGTCAAGGGAACTGTATCCTTCTGTTCAGATGGGTTAAATGGAAACTGAAATCTGGACACTGACTGTAGGTCTATAACCTCTCACATAGCCTTAATATTAACTCCTGCATAATTAAGCATTTCTTGCAGTAAAATGAGTCATCAAATGTAGGCATTATTTTGACTCGGGTACAGGAGTGGAGAAATATGATTTATTTCTTTCAGCATCTTGAGAGAATGCAAATGCACAGTTAGTTACCGTCTGTAGAGGTGCTGTCTTTATCAGCATCATAAAAACGGATTAGTATTTCAACCACATAATATATGCATCCAAGCCGAACTGAAATCTTATCAGAAACATGTTGGGTTGTTTTCAGAGCATTCTATTTCCTTACAGCTGGTCAAACTGATGTCATTTTGTAAATTTAGCACAAAAAAATCGTTCCATATTTATTTTTATTTTTTTATTGCATTTTCTCCCTGGTCCACCCAACGTCTTTGCTCCACGAAGGAAGCAGAGATCACAGAGAGAACTTTACCGATGTCAACTAGATTGAATCATTCATTCTATCGATTTATGACATTCTGGTGAGCAAGGTTTTTTTTTAGTCTTCTAGGGCAACATATAATGACAGGAGAGAAGCCGCATGTATCTAATTATAGACAAGTTGACTAACAAATAGCCTTCCAAAATGTCGGAAATTACACTGAGTATACAAAACATTAAGGACACCTGCTCTTTCCATGACATATACTGACCTGGTGAATCCAGTCAAAATGTATGATCTCTTATTGATGTAACTTCAATCAGTGTAGATGAAGGGAAGGATACTTTTTTGAAGCCTTGAGACAATTCACATCAAATCAAATCACATTTTATTTGTCACATACACGTGTTTAGCAGATGTTATTGTGGGTGTAGTGAAATGCTTGTGCTTCTAGCTCCGACAGTGCAGTAATATCTAACAAGTAATATCTAACAATTTCACAACATATACCCAATACACACAAATCTAAGTAAGGAATGGAATTAAGAATATATACAGTACCAGTCAACAGTTTGGACACACCTACTCATTCAAGGGTTGTTCTTTATTTTTACTATTTTCTACATTGTAGAATAATAGTGAAGACATCAAAACTATGAAATAACACATATGGAATCATGTAGTAACCAAAAAAGTGTTAAACAAATCAAAATATATTTTATCAAAAAGCCACCCTTTGCCATGATGACAGCTTTGCACACTCTTGGCATTCTCTCAACCAGCTTCACCTGGAATGCTTTTCCAACAGTCTTGAAGGAGTTCCCACATATGCTGAGCACTTGTTGGCTGCTTTTCCTTCACTCCGACTCATCCCAAACCATCTCAATTGGGTTGAGGTCGGGGGATTATGGAGGCCAGGTCATCTGATGCAGCACTCCATCACTCTCCTTCTTGGTC